TTTGCTTGTGCATGAACATCTGTAGTGGTCGCTGCCGGCCGACACCTTCAATTGCTTTGTCCGGCGTAATTGTTCAAGGCCAGCTGCCTCAAGGTCATCAAATACCTCAGCCAGCGCTTACAGACGCGCTGACTTGTAGAGACTTGCCCTACTACCACTCGGATACACACGTGCGTCTAGGTTCTCGCTGCTGCCCAAGCACCCCTCGAACATGTCCCTTTTTCACACCCTGGCCGCCAGACATTACTTCGGATCCCGCCGCCCTAGCGGAAGGTCGTGCTCTCCGTAGTCAGATTTCTTCCATCTATTCTCCATTCCTCTGTATACAAAATAAACTATTCCCACTATTCTGGTCTCCACCGAACTCTTTTCTACTAAGTAACCATGGTCTGAAGATTGCAGTTGCTAGGGTTTAACTTACTTAGACCCCTGCGATACATCAGGCTCCGCTGAATGAGAAAGAAAGCAATGTGGTAAATTCTACCAAAGTCCGCTCACACTGTAAAATAATTCACGCGCTCATCACTAACGCTGTATCTAGCAGACTGTTTGATTCGCGGTGTGCAGATTGCATATTTAAATCCAGGGCCAACCTCTCGAGCCACGTTTGCAGTCGGTGCAGATTACTTTTAAGGGCTTTCTAGTCGTTCTGACCCCAAATGATTTGCCACAACTTAGTCATCGGCAAATATGATTTTGCCGCCGTTTAGATCCTAAAAGCTGTCAGTAACATAAATAATGAAGAGAAATGGCCCGAGAAATCAGCTGTGAAGAATATTTCTAGTCATCTTCACCCAGTTGAACTTAGCCAGTTTAAAAGGAGAAGATGCAATCATTGGAGCAGGAAGATAATTGGCCTGACGTAGCAAATATTAGTGATAGAGGCACAAGATGCGCCGAAATTATAGTTCGTAGTGACCACGCGACCCCATGCGTACTGTTACCAGCAGCCCTTACGATCACCACTGGAGACCATATTGAATGTAATGTAATGTTGGCTTGGCAGTCCGCGTTTGAACTGTTCATGACCGGATTTCATCATTCGTGCTGGAAGTTGATGTGATGATAATTCAACAAGTTGGTTCGCTGTCTTTGGAAATGTGGGTCATTCGCCTCCTCAGGTAGCCTCAGCACAGAATATAGGAACGGAAGGTCATTGCGCTCGGTAATGGACTGTGAGAACCCAAAACATCAATCCAATAAACTTATTGTTCCAGCAGTCGCATCTTCTCCTTTCGAACTACTTCCTGGAACCTGCGTTTCCGCCTCTATCATAGGGGCAGCTTCGGCCGCGCCAGCCATCTCCAGTTAATCCCGCCCCCAGTTTTCTTGACTTTATATTGATACCGGGCACAGGTGGGTAAGGGAAGAAAGATTGCGTTAGATGCGGCGCAGGTCTACCATCACTTAAAACTAATTTACGCGCACGCCCCCGTCCCTGCAACACCCTCATGTGGAGCATACGGTGGACGTAATCGAACTCCACGGTCGAACCGTCAATCAGTGATGCGATTTCTGCCTTCTGAATGCGTATTGTTTGACCTCCCAACAGTTTCAAAGGTGTTTGTATACTCACTGTTTGGGGCCTACTTCGGTTGTGCTTTAGGAGGACTGCTATTATTTCTGTAAGAATGTCGAGGCTTCCCTCTAACTTTCTAGCTCGCATTCAAAACGTAATGTCTTCATTGCAGTGTACAAACGCGAGTTTAGTTTTTCCTTTTAGTATTCGATGCCGAAGCAGACGATAGAAGAAGGCAACTGTTTTCGAGACCGTTGACCCGATTTTTTATCATGCGTCATTGAAAGCGATGGAAATATTTCCAAAACGACTTGCTCACAGGAAGCAGCAAACAGTTTACATAAGTTAACTGGGTCCTGTGCTTTAGATTATATATATAAGCAGCCTGGTGTGCTGACTGTCGTCCAGCTGTAGAACAGTTTTGCTCCTCGACCGGTTGCGGTGAGACCCGAAGTTCAAATCCAGCTACTGAGGGGTGACCTTTTCCCTCTTGCAGAGTTGGATCGCACAAACTTACATTACTCATGCTTCCGGTACCCATGGGAGGCTACACTAATTAAAAAGCTCGTACTGCAAATCTATTGTAAATAAACAAGCGCATTGTTTTTTCAATGAATTTTAAGGGCCAGACTTGTAAAAAGCATGAAGCGACCCAGCCCTCATCGAAATACCTCCCTTCTTAGCTAAGAGCAGATAAAAGAACCGCACTGTGAATATTAGGTTTAAAAGCGAATGAGCTTTAAAGCTTGTACCTCTCATCAGGTCAACCTCCGAGGTGTCTTGGTCCGCAGCACAGTAACATTTTGAAAGCCACGGAATTATCGCACGTCCGAGTAGATATTTCGGAAAGTCGACTAATATGCAATCCATTCGGTATTTATTGCAACTAGATGTATCTTCTACACTAAGGTAGCGACTAAAACTTCGAAAGCTTCAATGAGTTTATATTCAGAGACAACTTCAACCAAGGTTTATCTAACAAAAGAAACGGCATTTACATTTAAGAAGCATCAGCATTTTCCATTTGAAAAGTTAAAGCCGATGCACTCAAATACCATTGGCTCATTTCGTAATGTTGAGGATCCAAGAGAAAACCCTTTTGCGAATGAACTGGTGTTCAGAAAATATTTGCACACATATTTAGTTGTTAGTGGATCACCTCGGTGAAGAGTAGCGCTTGATTCGGAAAACTCCCATGGTTCAAAATGCAACTTTGCGTGCTACTATTCGAATATAGATAGAAATTTCCTTTGACACCTACCGACGATGATCGTCAAGATGAAAAATGTTCTTACCTCTAGACTTCCTTTTGAGGAAATTTTGCCTTCTGCTGCAATTGGATAGGTGCAGTAGATGTGCTTGAACTGTATGCTGGGATGTCGTAGGTCTTCCAGAGTTCAAGACGTACTTCTTTGAAAATTCAATATATTCTAATATTTGCTCCCATCGAAAGGCTTATCTACACAATCTTGTGGAGTTTTTTCAAGTTGGAACTCCTAGTTGGATCGATGGACGTTAATGTCGAAAGCGGCAATATCGTCGAATATAAGTTCAACCATTGCGAAAGCCAGTTCACATAGATATATAAGAATGGTTTAGGCGCTAGAGAGACCCTGGGTACTGGCCTACCGAGTTTTTCATAAGTGGTCGAGTAGTCTTCCTGGAGTGCTTGCTTAGTCAGCAAGCACAGACCGGTTAATTTTTTTTCACCTAAGGCAAAACAGTTTGGTGGTAAAGTAACCTTGTTCCAATGCTCAGAAATAGATTACATAGGAGATAAAATGTCAATAAGAAATAGCAAAGTAGCCCTCAAGGGGCTCCCAGGTCAGACGCTTGTCGGTCATACAACTATTTACATGTTGCAGAAGATGGTCAGAACATGTTCTCTCTCCCGCCTGCAGTCCTAGCATTGACGTTTCCCCTTTGAAGTGCAGTTGGCTAACATAGGAGAGAAAGAGCAAAAATGCAATATAACATCCAACTCAAGAAACAATAGACAGGTATGACTCTAATACGGAATCGATGGTGATAGGGCTATTACGGATAGGGCTAAATGCTACAAAGGAGTACGCGATATAAGATTAGTGATAAAGAAGTTTTTATTCTTCCAATAAATGCTAAACATTTTTTTGCCTTCAGAAACCATCGGACTGTAAACAAATATGGCGAAACAACACAAAATTACCGAGGATGAAGAGCTAAATCGCTAAAATACCAATAACTAGAAAGCCTACTATCCGACTAAGGAGACGTGAGTTCCAAGGGTATAGCGGACGCTTGATTCAGCCTAAATGAGTTTCGTAGGAAAAACAAACGCTGTTACATCGTCACCTGTAAAAACGGTCAGTTTCTTACATCCTATTCCCGTCTTACGGTTCTTTTACCCCAGTTAATTACAATCCAGTATGCTTGGATTTTTCGGGCTTAAGGATTCGAAGTATAGAATTAATTTAACAAGGCATGGCTGGCGTTAGCTACAACGAGTAGCATGGAATGTTAATAAGTCGGGGCAGCGTTTAGTGCCTTAATACTTGGAAGGTATGGACACTCCAATAACAATACTTCGGAGATAGAGTCAAGCGACCATGGGATCTGAGTATTGCTTGAACAAGGACAATACTATTTATTCGTATAGGTGCTTCTGGCAGATTAAGAATATTTCTTTTGATCCAATTGTGGAAAAATCAGGGGCCTCACTGACTTTCGACCGCACGACAGCCAAGACCAAACTTAAGTACAGCTCACGTTCTCCTCATCATAGCTATGATAACCCTATCGCGATTCTTGAAGTTAATCCTACTCGGGGCAAATTATCCACCCAGCCTACCGCAATGTATGGAATCCACAAACCCTGATACAGTAAGCAGACTGCCCAAACGCGATCTCCCAAGCAATAAATCCAGAATTCACCAGAAGCCTACCAGACGCACATAAGAAGTGGTTTTGGCCTATTTGGCTGAACTTTGATTGAACTCATGACTTCTGGTTGGGCCTAATAGCTTAGGTGCTTAGAGTAGTGGTTGTACTGAAGCCTTCCCCGTGCTATCATTAGTTAGAATTTCACAGAGGATGCTGCGCTTTCCAAAATTGGATCAAATGAAGTGTTAAAATCTACCAAAAGCTTATGAATGATGTGTGCCTGGTAGTCAGCTAGTGGGTTCTAGGTTGACTGCTTACGAAATCCTGCTTGGGAAATCAGCTTACCATGCCAGGATTGGTTGATTCCATACGTTGCAGTCGGCCAAGCGGATAACTTGGTTTAATAATGCTTAACATCAACATTCCAGATGAAGCTTCGTAGCGCAGGTAGTTAGAATAGTGGCCGCACTGAAGCCTCCTCCTGGCTGTCGTGACTTCGAATCTCACCGAGGTCACTGCTTCATGTTTAAGATTGTCAAATGAAGTACTGATATTTCTTAAGTAGGTAGTGTTTGCAAATCATAATGTGTGTTACCTCATGGGGACGTTCGCAACGTGAAGCTTAACTCAAAGCCGCCTCGAGACGTCTTCGCAATCGTTCCACGTCGTCATCACTTAAGCGATTGTTCAGAAAATGTGCTGCAATGATGAGAACGCCGCTAAGTATGAGCAGTCCTGCCGACGCTAAATAGCTGGCACAGCGAGACTCCAGTAAATCATTGGTTAGCGTTGCCATTGGCGTACTGAGGCAAAACCCCAGCCCCAACGCCATGATTTGGTAGCTCATGGCCTCTGTGAGACGTTCCACCTGGACAAGGTCAGCCACTACCAGTGGACTAAGAACGGTCGAACCACCTAAAAGAGGTAAGTTAAAGAATTCTGAAGTTGGTAACATATATTGCCCTGATTACCTGGGCAAAATGTGCTATCGAAAGTCGGAGCCCCCAATACTGACTAACTAAAGGAGTTAAAAACTACCAGAAGCCTGTGTAGCAACAGAGTTTCCGAACGATGCTCTGCCTTCGTAGTCAGATTTCGTGTGTATCTCAGTCCGTAGGACTTGAAGCTAGCATTCTCATTAGTTGTTGTAAGAGGTACTCAAGCTTATCTTCTTAAACGTAGATCCATTTTCTCAACCGATTAAGAAACTCAGAAAAGAGTGGGGCCAAAATGGGGGATTAAGTAGGATGGTGAGACTGTTACATTTTACACTGAGCTGGAATGACTGGCGGTATAAAGTCGAGTGATCGAACTCGGGTAAGCCAGTACCGAAAAGTGTAATCACTGAGCCACCGTTCTAAGCTTTGTGGGATTTTAAAGGGCATGCTTGAGCTGCAC